CTTGATTTTAATAATTGATGATAGTGAGTTCCAGAAAGAAATTGCAGAAAACAAGGCTGTCATTTTGCCGTAGTTAGTGCTTACTTTTGGAAGCAGAAGGTTACTATTTTTAGGAAACTACGTGTTATTAGAATGTGAAGATGTGTGAGAGGAAGTATGTCAGTGGGAATGTCACCGACTCTACTTCTGAATAATAAAATTCCATGTTTGAGTTGAAAGGTGGAAATGAACGGTAGAATTTCGAGAGTGCTAAAGAGGGGTGCTGCTGATGCTGTGTAGGAACTACAGTCGCCGACCGATTTTTCGGACCTGGCGGGGACCGAAAAAAAGTACGAAAAATCGAACAGTCCGAAAAATTCGTTTTCGCCAAAAATCTGAAGTTTATTGCATCAGGCAGGTTTAAAAAAGTCCTTGATGCTGCCTTGCCTCAAACTACGCTTGGAGGCAATTTGGTTTGCCTGTATTTGCGCCAAGGTGACATCGTCGCCGTAAACGCTCGACAAAATTGTCACCGCGTTGGCGAACTCCGACGGCTGCGGGCGGTCGTCGTTGTCATCCGACGGCAACGACGACCGCCATCCGGCGTCAACCGTCATCCAGCGACATCTAGCTGCGAACGTCCACTCTCTATTAGCTTGATCATAGCCTCCTCTATAACTTTGTGCCCGAGCGGTCGGTCCCTCAGCGCCGTCCCCCGAGCTATTATGGGATGCGAGCGCTCCTGGCGGAGCGCCGAGGCGCAAAACGAGAGAATGGATGGCAGCTATGGAGAAAAAACCGGCTTTGAGTAACTACCGAAAGGGCAAAAATGAAATAAGGAGGGAGGCATTTTACGATAATTCAAGGGGAAGCGCTTTACTGTTTGAAGCGAGATCGGGTTGCCTTAGAACGCGTAGTTATAAAGCAAGATTCAGTAAAGAAGAAGAACAATGCACATGCTGCGGGAAAGATAAGGAAACGGCGGAGCATGTTCTGATTGAATGTGGAGATATCCACCCAGGTGTACTCCTGTATCCGTCAACTGAGCTCGTAATGGTTCTAAATTCTCTAAAGAATTACGCGGAAGTTTTCCTCGCAAGAGCGAGAAAGATGAATCAGCCACTGAAGGCTGCCGTTGACAACGCCGCGCAAATACTACAGAAACGTGACAAACTCAAGTGCTCGACCCCGGGACATCATAAAAACTTTGGAGGTTGTGCTCGTGAAGTTTCTCCGCCCACTTTTTCTGAACTTCGCGACGAGTGTGACTGACAAACACGACTTGGCAAAAGATTTTCATGTCAAACCATTGTCTCGAAAAGTGCTCAAGCTTTGAGCGCGAAATCAAATAACAAAGCTCACATTGCATTCTGCATACAGTGCTTGTGTTAAAAATTTGGTGTGTGCGCACTTCTTAACGTATACGCATAATCCAATGCAATGTAGACGGTTTCTAGACCGTCATAAACGCAAGCGTGCATAGGCCGCGTCGTCTGCTGTTATTATGGGATCGGTGCGGCATCTGGCGGCGAGCGCCAAAACTATAAGGGACGGATGGCGCGTATGTATTTAGCGCTAATGCGCGGGCACAAAAAAATATAGGAGGCTATGGCTTGATTATGGCAGCTTTCTTCTCCATCGTCAGGGTCGTATACTTCCCACGCTTCTTCACACCGCCTGGCTCCCGCGATGGCACAGATAGCGGAGCCATGGCACCGAGAACACAAAATTCGATGCCGCAGATAGCCGCTGCGAAGCACACAACGTCTCGACGCTACGCGACACAACACGTGCAGAATGGCGACTGAAAAAAGCTGCAACGACAATAAAAGAATCCTTCTTTCGCCTCCTCCCGTGCGATGTGATGACGATAGTGCTGACCGAAGACGAAAAAACGGCATCCATCACCGCGTCTTATAAAAAGCAAACACGGCCTCCGAAACTTAAAACATGGCGTGCGCATTCCAATCTCGGAGGCAAGAAAGGCATCTGAAGACCAAGCTTAGCCAAGCCGACAGAAAATCCAACATGGCAGCGTTCACAATGGCTTAGAGCGTGGCACAAAACGAGCGATTTAGTCCGAAAAATCGAACTTTCAGGGGCGAATTCGCCCGAAAAATCGGTCGAAACAATGCATTAGCTCTATGGGAACCCTGACGGTGCATTTATGAAGTCCGGAATATCCAACAAGTCCGAATTTTTGGAGTCCGGAAAGACTGTATGTGCGATAATTCAGACTGCTCTTTTCTAAAGGTGAATGAGAGATGTTAGGTGTGTGGCGTAGGTATTGGCCCAGGATGAAATGCAGTAGGTTAGGTGACTGTTAATGAAAGCATAGTAAAGTGATTTTAATATGTGTTGCTGAAAACAATTCCTTGTGCAAATGAGTATGCGGTTGCCAAAAGCAGTCTTCTTGATGACAGAATTCACGTGAATGTTATATTTGAGTTGAGGGTCTAATGTGACACCTAGAAAAATAGTGAACATTGATGGGGTGATGACGCAGTTATCAATGTATATTTCGGGTGAAATCGTAATGCTTTTTTGGGACGAGTGAAATAACATAAAAGTTGTTTTAACAGGGTTGATTTTCAATAAGTTATTTTTGCACCATGAAATAAGTTTCGCAACATCAGTGTTTAATTTTGCTAGTAGATTGTTAAGATCTTTGTCACTAGAAAATATTGCAATATTGTCAGCATAAAGTATGCAGTCAGATGAGTTAAGTGATGATGGTAAGTCGTTAATGTAGATAAGAAACATGAGAGGTCCCAGAATTGAGCCTTGTGGGACTCCCTGGTTAGTTATTATTGGTGAGGATAAAACACTGCCATAATTGACAACCTGGGTTCTGTTAGCGAGGTAGCTTTGTAAAAGGGCTAAAGTAGGCACACAGATTCCCAAGGAATTAAGTTTAGCAGACAAAATAGAGTGCTTTATAGTGTCGAAGGCTTTAGTTAAATCTATAAATAACGCCCCTCCCCAGAGCCCCTTATCGATGGACTGTTTTATGCTATCTGTTCGTTTAATCAGTGCTAATTCGGTAGAAAACTTAGCACGAAAACCAAACTGCTTATGTGACAAAAGGTTAAATGTTGTTAGGTAGTCCAATAGGCGATTCACAATGAGCTTCTCAATTACCTTACTAAAGAATGAGAGGATTGTTATAGGGTAATAATTAGAAAAAACTTTTCGGTCTCCCTTTTTGAATACAGGTATTACTTTTCCTTGTTTGAGGATTGTAGGAAAAATGCCTGAACAAAATGTGGTATTAATAAGCTCTGAGAGCACAGAAGATAACTCACGAGCAACAAGTTTGATTTTAGCTGGATAAATTGAATCGAGGCCACATCCTGTCGTCTTCAAACTTGTTATAGTGCAAAGAACGTCAGCAGGTGACGTGGGTTTTAAGAAAAAAGAGTGAGGCAAGCGAGACAATGAAGGCAAGTTAGTGACAATCGATACTGAGTTGCTAAAGAATGATTCATTAAAAGAATTAGTGATAGTGACAGGGCAAGTTAGAACGCTGGTGCCATCCGAAAATTCGGTCTCAAGCGCATCTGGTTGATCAAGATGCAAGAACTCCTTAATTACGTTCCAATTTTTTCTACAGTCATTCCCATTTTCGAGCACTTTATTTTGATAGTAGGTTCGTTTGGCTTTTCTGAGTAGGACAGTAAGAGTTTGTGAATAAAGTTTAAAACGGGTCCTGAGGGACAAGTTGGACAAGTTGAAGTGAAGTTTTACTTTTTTGTAAAGGTTATCTTTTTTATTTATGCTACGCAGCAGTCCTCTAGTAATCCACGGGTTTCTAGGGGCTGAGTACCAACGCGATATGGTGGATACAGATGTACACGAGTTCATGATACCTGTTAGTTTCTCAGTCAAGGTACTAAACGCTTTATTAACACAAAGTTCTTGCGCTAGTTTCCCCCAGTCAAAGCGGGATACCAAATCAACGAATTTCACAGAATCGAAACGACACCCATTGACCATTTTATTTTTACAATTAGTTTGTGTTTTTAATAACAGAAAAATTGGATAATGATCTGTTAGATCAAAATTGACCACACCGGCCTCCTGAACTGGCATAATGTTACTGAGTATATGGTCAATAAGCGTGTTCCGGCCAGAAATGCCATACTCAAATAATCAATGTTGCAAGCCTTGCGAGTGGTGATGGGTGCTTCCCAAACCTCAGAGGGCATGAATTATGTGTTTGTTAGCTGTTTCTGATCCTGAATAGCTGGCACCACTTGTCCTGGTGCAAGCTTGGGGCATGTTCTTTGGCTTTACCCCGTGCTTTTTTTTCATACCAGCCAGACTACAATGTTCTGTTAACTTCTGTACCCAAGCCTGAGAATGGCATAGATGACATCCACACTCCTAGCGCAAGAACCGCAGAGCATGAAGCAAGCAGCCCAAAGCATCCCACAGCAGACACAGACTACGCAAAAGTCCGAAAGAAGACGACGCGGCTCAACCATGTAGCTCCTCTGTCGGTGATTGGCCAGCTCCTCTGTCGGTGATTGGCCATTTGACTCTCCAGCAGCCAATGAACAGTGCGAAAGTGGGTCTCAGCTCTATTCTCTAAATGGCAATAAATGGCAGGGGTGCATGAATGAAAACACCCGCACATGGCATTGTTCGCACATGGCAGCCTAAGAATGGCAAACATCAAGCCAATGTGCCGCTTGTGTGCAGAGGCCCTAACACTCTCAAGTTAAAACACGCAGATATAACCAATGAAGTGGATGCTGTAGATGAACTGGTAGATCATCAGACTTGATCCAAAAGTTGCACAGTCAGTCATCGCTGGCAGCAAGTTGCCTCTTCGTCTGCTATAATTTCTTCACACTTATACACTAATTACTATAACTGTCATTTCCAACCTTTTCTTTGGCATTACTGTCTGTCGTTCATCATTGTGTATAATAAAAAAAAGCAGCTCTTAAAATTTTCTGTTCTTGTATTACATGTGCTAGCGAGGATAGTGTTGCACAAAAGAAGAGGACACTCACACTATGAAGAACGACGCAAAGGTGATCGTCTGCAGCCAGGTAACTGGCTCCGGGCTGCTACAGCAGGTGCCATCGTTATAATTCATGTGGTCATTGCAGTACATGTTGGTCAAGATCTGGATAGCCTGCATCATGCAAGAACCACCATTTTCATCCTCAGAAATCCATCCAGAAATCAGCACGGCACTCTAACACAGACTAAGGCACAACACTGCTTAAATCGAGCAGCTGAGAATCATAAGCACTGCAATGCACTGCATATTGAGAAGCCATTCAAGTTAGGTGCAGCAAGGAATGACAAAAAACAAACTTAGCAAGAACAGATGTTTGGTTGTGCTGGTGTGACATATCCATAGTTCCCAATGCAGCATACGTGCTAACTTACAACAAATTTGTTGAGTGTAAGTGCTTGTGTCTGCATTGAGAACTACGAATAAGAGGAAAAGTGTCTTAGTACTCCAAGTTATTACCAAACAAACTTGAAATGAAAGGGGGCCTGCAACATTTTTCAAGCACCCATTTCTCAATTGTACATTGTGGGCACTTAAGAATGGACAGACACAAAAAAATATGGCAGCAATAGTCCTACACAGTCTCAACTTATTGAGCATAAAAGACTACTAATACCGGCCCTCAATTTTATTTTTGCGGGATCACATAGGCCCCATTTCTTTTATAATGTGACCCCAAACCACGAGAAAAAGAATGCCACAGAAATGCCCCAAAGTCAGAAACTTCTGACAACACTCAAGTGTACAGCACATATAATTAATACCAGTGTCACACGGTGCACTGCCACTCGCGATAAAGCTTGATTAGAATTAGATTTCTCAGCAGTGATAGGCTCACTTTCGCCACTTGTGTAAGGAGCCGAGTAATCATGATCAAATAATTCGATCCAGTTCAGCCCTGATCATGATCAAAAGTGTCTGTGTGACAGTCGTATAAGTTGGAGAATGCTTGAGCTTCACCTTAAAGGGCTAGTAAACAGGCTCAGACTTTTTTTGTACACTCCCCCAAACAAGTTCACCAATTCGTACAGTAGGCCACATTTTTTTAATATTACAGTGCTTCATGCCATGCAGACCCTCCATTTTGAAAAACAATTCCTGTGCCTCTTTTCTTTTGACTGATCCCCCTTGTACGCACAATGACGCAAGCTTGTCCATAGGCAACTTGACTTGCCCTACACAATGGCGTCTTGGTGATGCAGTTTCGGCCGCGCAGTCCGCATTTTCATTTTCCTGTGCTGCCTTCTGCCATTTTGTAGAGCCCAAGAGTACCGAGAAAACTGCCAAAACGAAAGCCTCCGAGAGGCGTCTCGCCACTTTCAGGATCCTCGCATCACGCTTCCTCCCTGTGCCACTATCACACGTGCTCATGTGTTGGTCGCTGATGACGTTATGTCACTGACATCAATGTCACATTGATGACATGGGCAGAGTCACAACTACGGGCTACGCCTTCCCCCTCTCTAAGGGTGGCGTACCAGCAGAAACGGGTGGTCTAACCACTTTAACTTTCGTATTATAGCACGTATTCGCGCAAAATTTTTGTAGCAGTATGTTCACATAACAAAAGAGTACATATTTCTTTTCACAACTATTTTTGGACCTCAGGGCAGGTCACTAGCCCTTTAAAGAGCAGAACGCAAAAGTGCGATTGGCCGTGTTCACATAGCCTTTTCATTCAATAACCAGGCGTCCCTTCTCAGTAAGTGCTCGAACTAAGCCATGAGCACTGTGTACTTAATATTTGTCATTTTTAAATCTCCCAGATTTCCCACTGCTGTTAAGCTGCTCGGTACGCCATCATTAAACAAATTAGCCAAGCACCCATTTACGTGTCCCTAAGGCAATAATGGCTGCAGATTTTTTTAATGCTTTTGACAATGATAATTATTAATTATGCCTCGACAGGATGTAATGAAAAAAAACTTAAAATCGTGCACTTCTTACACAATTCCCATTGTGTGATGCTTGTTGCAATTCTACGCTTCTGTCACGCAGCATTTTGTGCGTTAAGAAAAATGCTTATACTAAATAAGGTCTGTATATCATCAGAACATTAAAGATCGCTAACTGGAGGCTCACCTTCTAATCTATCTTTACATCGTCAAGGGTGTAAGTGCATGACAAAAATTGATGAATGCAGTTTTGTAAAGGAATGAAGTGCATCATATGACTCAGGGCTGGCATATTGATGATGATAGCAGCAGTGCATGCCTCAGTCAACCATCGATAAAATAACATAAAGAAAAAATTCTCAACAGTCAACTTTCACTTCGACCACCACACATGTCAGGCCGATAGTTATAGCTTAATGCATGTGCATGTGCAGATACATTTTTGCACCTTCCTTCTTTTCTGCAATTGTGTGCCTTACAGCTTTTAGCATTTGTGGTGTCTCGACTTTCTTCTTGTGTCTGAATTTGCACGGCCTATCTTTCCGCATGAACACTTAACGACTAGCTCAGCTCAGAGTCATTCTAAGCTGGCTAGTGTCTTTATCTGATAGTCACAAGCACTGGCGTGGCTCTGTGGTCATACACTTGCTTGCAACGTACAAAACTTGGGTTAGATTCTAACTTGCAACCATATGTCATCATCATCATAATCAGCCTGACTATGCTGCGCTGCAACAGAAAGGCCTCCTGCATGTTTCGGCCGTCAACTCGGCCCTGTGCTTGCTGCTGCCACTTATACCTGCAAGCTTCCTAATCTCAGTTGCCCACCTAACTTTCTCTCTCTCCTTCACCCACTTTGCCTTCTCTTAGAATCCAGTCTGTGATCCTTCGTGACCAGCCGTTATCCTGCCTTTCATGCTATGCGCCCTGCCCATGACCATTTCTTCTTCTTGATTTGGAGTATGATGTCCTTAACACCTGTTTGTTCCCTCATATACTCTGCTTTCTTCTTGCCCCTTACGGTTACACCAATCATTTTCCTTTTCATTGCTCGCTGCGTCGTCCTCAACTTCAGGTGAACCCTCTTTATAATCCTTTAAGTTTCTGCTTCGTAGGTAAGTACTGGTAAGATGCAGCTGTTATATACCTTCCTCTTGAGGGATAGTGGCAATCTACCATTCATGATTTGAGAATGCCTGCCAAATGTGCTCAACACCATTCTTATTCTTCTAGTTACAATAATCTCATGGTTCGGCTCCGCAGTTACTACTCGTCCTAAGCAGATGTACTCTTTTAAAACTTCAAGTGCACTGCTGCTTATCTAACTGTTCTCTTTCGTATTATTGTACATTACTTTTGTTTTCTGCAGATTAATTTTAAGACCTACCTTTTTGCTCTCCTTTTCTAATTCAGAAATCATGAATTCCAAGTGGTTCCCTGAGTTACTCAGCAATGCAATGTCATTGGCAAAGCACATTAGTATGGACTGCTTATAATGTAGTCTCGAGTCGCGAATATTTGCACTATACACAGTACCACGGTACAAACAAAATTTTTTTTCAAGGGCCGCAATTGTGCAAAACGTGTTGAGCAAGCAGCCTCACGTGTTCTATAATCGAAGGATGCCATGCGTGGTGCTGACAACCTTTTAAATTTCCAAATGTTTAAAAAATTAACGTTCAAAGACACACGTTGCCAACAAAATGAACACGAAAAGGTGGGGGGAGGGCTACTATCACAGAAATTTGCCGACTGCTTCTCAGACCACCAAGATTACACACCTAACACAGAAATTACGTCGAACCACGTCTGAAATTTTGTGCGATGAAAGAAGCAAATCGTTCAAATTTATTACAGGTGCACAACGGATTTGAAGACGTCACAATCAAATCGCGAACCACTAATCGAGCGCTACACATGCCACCCTTGTTTTCGTTAACGATATGTATACCTTCCCTTCAAGGAGTGCAGCCACCGCAAAGAGTTTCGTTGATTCCGTACAAAACCCCAACTTAGATTGCATGCGACCGCTACTGAAACGCAACTATTAGGCCTAGCTTGCCGTTCAGTATGTTGTCGCAAAAAGTTTTTCTAAGACATGGAGATCCAGTGTCGAAAAGACCGCACTCAAGCACTGAACCAAGAACAGTTAGTGTGATACAAAGTTCGCGTTCGCGGACGGGAGATCAACAACGACAAAAATCCGACAAGCTTACGCAAGACTGCGCACTGACAGCATAGGCAAAAGTTCGCATCATAAAGCCGTTAAAGGTTTTAAATTAACGGACGAGGTACCAAACGCGATATCTGTAGTGTAGAGAGTGCCATGCACCATGCGCTCTATATATGATGTGGTTGAATAAAGCTAGAGGGATTCGTTCGGTCAACCTGCCTCAAGCTCACTGATGTAGACGCGCCCAGCGTCGGTCTGCATGTTGCAGCATACATGGTGTCGCATCGTACAGGGTGTCAAAATATGCAACTACGGCTCTACGTACATTGAGAATAGACTCGTTCGAGAACGATTTATCGTAGGCTTGTTGGACAGCAGATTATCGAACAACTCTGCCGCACTTCTGAATTGATGCTGGAAAAAGCGCTCCTGCATGCACGGCTACACGAGGACGCCGAAAGAGAAAAACGGGAACGCGAAAACCAGTCATATGGGCCTGTCGCTGTGGATGCAGTGAAGCAGACGCCAGCGCAATGAAAGTCACGTAAACGAGCATCAGCATCAAAAGAGACCCTCTTCGTCAACGCGACACATGGATCGTGTCGATTCTGCAGAGGAGAGGCACCATCAACGAGAATTCTTTCCTGCCAAGAAAATGCTTTGCAGTTTATGCAAAAAGAAAGGACATTTCGAAGCAGTTTGCTTAGCCAAACAACATTCATTCAGCCGACAGTCACATGCCATCGAGATGCATGCTGTCAGGACCAGTCGCGAAGCAAGCGCCAAGTTAGTAAGGGTTAACATGAATGGCACGCTGCTCAAGTTCGAGGTCGACTCAGGAGCGGAAGTTATCGTCGTTCCGAGCACTTTCTCGGGTGTACCATCTCGACTCGACAAAACGGAGGGTCATCTCACACGTCCAGGAAGTTATCCTTTGAATGTGTCGGGCCGATTCAAAGCTACGTTGCAGTGGAAGAGCCGCACCTGCATACAACCAGTGTATGTCATCTGCGACATACAATCAGTGTGCCATACAAGACTGCGAC